TAGGTCCCCTAATCAGCGGCCCGCGCGCCGCCAGCGACGGCGGAGAAACAGGGACGGCCGACGCCGGCGAGGGCGCCGCGGCAGCCGCAGGCACGGACGCTGCGGCGGCGGCGGCGGCGGGGCCGCAGCCGGGGCCGCTGCGGCGCGCCGGCGGCGCGATCGGCGGCGGGGTGGTCGCCGCGGCCGGCTGGGTTGGGCGGCCTGTAGCGAACCTGATTCGCAGCCGGGTGATCAAGACCGCGCAAGACGAGGTTGCCGACAGGCTGGGGGCTTTTTAGGCGGCCCGACTCAGCCGCAGCAGCATCGCACATGCGTGACAGCAGGATCGTATGCGGCCGCCTGTCTCCCGGCCTCACACCGCCGGCGGGGTTGGCAGTGCATCACACAGAGGGCTGAAACGACGCTGCGCAATGTGTAAGACACCACCAGTTCAAGCAAAACCGTGCACGCTGTCACACAGTGCCGTGCACCGAGCACATCCAATCGCCACTCCAGTAGCAGAGGTGCAGCAAAGCGCGCAAAGCAGCCGTGCCGGTGTGGTGCTGGCGCCTCTGCTGTCTGGGTAGCAAGACTGTGGATTCCTGTTACAGCCCGTCCATCACCACCACGGTGCAGCCCAGTGCCTGCTGATCGCCCTGGTCGCCGCCACCTTGCTGCACCCGCTTGGAGCCATGCACCCCCCGGAAATTAGGCCAGAGAGTGTGCAGATTACCACGCTCGGAAAAGGCCGCCCGACCAGCGAGCAGACTGGGCCGAAAGACAGCAAGTGGACAGCCGTACTGTGGTGCTGACCGTGCGTCACACTTTGGCCAAATGCGAGACCCATCAATACGAGTGACTGCGTGTCCATACGAAATGCTAAGTTGTACATGCTCGTCGGCAGGCTGCTGTAGGTTGTTTTTCGATTGACGCGCGGTTTGTAAAAGCTGACAACAGGGTGTGCACACAGATGCATGCACGGTCATGGTACAAGCGTCTGGTACGTGGCAACAGCAAATCATGTTAGGGCACCGCAAAGCCCGAGTGTACACACACAAAAGGAGAAGGTTGCACGAAGGATGTCACAGGTGAAGGCCATGAGTAATGGGCCCATGCTTGGGTGTGCGTCGCCCTCCCCTCAATAAAATCAGAGCCTCACGCTGCATATCAAATCAGCCCTTGCTCCAGGCATCGAGCCAAGACACGCCTCCGGCCTTGATCGATGCTGGCAGGCCGGGGCGAGGGCGCGCCCTTCTCGGGCTCGCCGCGCGCGCCGACCAGCGTTCACGCCCCCGCCTTTGCGGCCCGCCGCAAGTCCTCCTCTTTCACCCCGACCGCGATGTTGGCCACCTCGTTACCATCCGCGTCCAGCGACGGCGGGTTTTCCACCACCACCGTGTGCACCGGGTGGGCCGGCGCGCGCCTCTGCTGCCGATGCGGCCCCCCGCTGCCGCCGCCCTGCCACGGGTCGTGCAGGGGCACCGGGGACACGTGGTGGCAGACGCTGCACTTTACAGACTGGGCGCCGAGGGGATAGAGGAGCGTGATGCTGCAGCCGCCGCAGTTCAGGTGGCCATACACCGGCACCTGGAACGAGGGATGGCGCGCGGCGGGGGCACTGAGAAAAAGAAGCGGGCAACCTGGTAAGAGCGGAGCGCTCGCGCGAGACAGGCGTTGCGGCTGGCGGGGCCGCGCCGCCGCGGCAGCCGGCCGCGCCAGGAGCGGGTCGCGCCGCCTCACCTGAGTGACCGTGTTGCAGAGGGAGCACTGCACGCTCTGCGCGCCGCGGGGGAACGCCAGCAGCACGCGGCAGCCGTTGCAGACCGCCTGGGCCAGGTTTGGGTCCGGCGCCGGCGCGGGCGGCGCGGCTGTGATGTGGCCGCACCGCGAGCAGCGCACGTTGCTGGCGCCCTGCTGCGGGGCGTGGGTGGGTCATGGGTACGTCGGCAAACGTCTCGCGCACGTGCATGCTTGCGCACACATGGGCGGGTGCGCTCAGGTGGGTGTGGGGCCGCTGTCATGTGCACGCTGCCCTGGCACATGCCAAACCGGCTGGTCGCCAAGCAAGCAACCCCTTGCCCAGCATGTTAGCTCACCTGTGGGTACATCAGCAGCGTTGCACAGCCGCCGCATGTCAAATGGCTGTGCGGCCCTGGCGGCGTGGCTGCGCATGGCGGGGAGGACGCACCCGGGGCGGCGCGGGTCGCTACGGGGTCAATCATAGGCCAAAGGCAGGGCACTGTGATACTGCAGCAGCTTAACTGTCACTCCTCGAGGAGGTACGTGCTGAACACTCACATGAAGGCTGCATGTACGCCATCTCCGTATGCTGGCCTTGCGCCTTGCCCAGACCGCGGCCCTACGCCTGGAAGACGAAGCAGAGATGCCAAGCTTCTGATTTCCCTCGAGCTGGATGTCCTCGCACTTTACTGTGGGACAACAAGGCCCAGTCAGGGTGGATCGCTAGCACGAAGGACACAGACGTATGGTGCGGGTTTGTCTGGACAGTCTATATGACATGACAGGCCGACGATTGCAATCAAACCTCACCTTGCGAGGTTCGTCACCGGCGGTAGGCGCCAAACTTGCCAGGCTCCTCCTAGCTGCCTGCTCCAGGTCGGTAAACTCCAGGACCAGGTCCAGGCAGGCACTCATCAGAGCCGAACAGCACTGCGCACAGAGAGCGCAGCCAAGCTGAGCAGCTCCGCATGGTGCCAGCAGTATATGCGCTCGAGCAACAGAGCACAATACCTCCGCAGCTGCGCGTTGGTCCCCGCGTTTTGTCACCTGGCACGGTCACGTGATTTCATCATCTGGACGGCAGACTATCTTGTCTTGTCACCACAGGTCAGCTGATCAGGCACGATCAGAGCTTCCAGGGAAGCTTGAGTCCCAGTCCTGGTGCCCTGACATGCCACCCCGGCCCCCGCAACACTGGGGGGGGGGCCGCCAAGGGCGATGTGCGCTTTCGGCTCGAAACGCCCTGCCGATGGGCGGCGGCGGCGTTTGTGGACTGCATGCGATGAACATGCATGCGGGTGATGCAGAAGGATGCAACCAGCCGGGACTGCGAAGTGAGCAACAGGCATCTGCAGACCTTGTTCAGTGCAGCTGGGGGGCCTCAGGCGTGCGGCGTCCGATAAAGCCGCGGGCGTGACAAGCCACAATGTGCGGACTGAGAACTGTTGCGTTTGGGTGGCATAGACAAAATGCTGGAGAGAAGTGGCGAAGGGATGAAGCGAGCTCGGCTGAGTCGTCGGTTGGGCCGGAGTTACCCAACACAATTTTGTGCGCGAAGTACGGTAAGCGCCTGGTGCGATACGACCACCAGTCTATGGTAATCGTTTTCTTCACAGTCAATGGTAAAGACATAGACGAAAGTTCCGTCGTAGCATGCATGCATTGACGAGGGTTCGATTACCGTGGGGCGCCCAGAGTGGTCATCACCACCGTAGACACCGCACACGGCAGATGTGGCAAGCAGCATTGTGCTCAAAGCGAGTGGGGTATCCCGTCCATACCCGTTCTTTCAATGGTAAGTTATAGTGATTGAAGTAGAGCCACGTACGGTCTCAGGTGCGGGCGGCACCCGCCACCGGCACGGGGCACCCCATGCCGCCCAGGATCGACGCGTCCAGCGCTAGCACGCCAGGGCGTAGGGAAGCCATGTGTTGCAATCCGCGTTGATTGAAAACCACACCCTTGGCCTGTGTCTGCAGTGTGTATGGCCGGCTGCTCTGGACACCCGTTCCCCGAAACCAGTGGTTCCCACTCAACCAGCCGAGAGGCCCTTGGACAAATGCCCACTCACGCGGATCAATTCATTGACTGACCGGCCAGGCCACGCACTCGTTACGCTCAGACAGAGACTTCACCACGCGCTCCTGATCCGGCGCGAACGACGACCCCGCAATGGCTCTCAGGATGCGTGCGCTGCGCGTTGAGTGCGTGGCCAAGCCGTCTGCGAAGCAGCTGAAGGCCCCCGTCGGTGAGCTGAACAGAACGCGACACTCACGAACAGGGCGCTGCCTCGAGGCGCTGCTGCAAGTCGCCACGCCCACAGCCTGTCTCGCGGGGCACCTGAAAACAGCGTGCTGATCATAATCGGATCAGCTCGCCCAGCTTGCATTCATGCTGCAGCACGTCACCCGCGCACCCGCCGCGTGCGCTGCCCACCCTGCCCCACACCAATCCGCGCCCATCCACACCTGCACGCACAGCCGCGCGCAACGTCGCGCTCACGGGGCTTGTCAGCAGCCTGCTGCTTGCGCAGCCGGCGCGTGCAGAGGACGCAGTGGACACGACCGTCGCGGCCGTGACCGAGGCTGTCAAGGTGTGCGGCATGGGGGTCAAACCCCTCTTTGCATCTTTGGATTCCCCCGTGCTGCGCCAGGTTGGAGGGTGTGCGGGGCATTTCACGGCTACAGCTGCCACATGGGACGGCAGCCCCTTCAGACTGGGAGCAGCATCCACCAGGGCGCTGCACGCTCCTCACCTCATGAACATGACACACCGCCAAGATTGCGCCCCCGCCCGGGGATCCCCGCCCTCGGCAATGCAGCAGCGCCAACGCCAGCGGCGCCGCGCCGCCCACGGCGTCCGCGCCCGCAAGGCCCGCGCTCCCCAGCCGGCCGAACCCCCCGCCTCCTACCCACTCCCCCGGACACCCTTGCTCCCGGGCCCGCGCCCGCGCCCCCCCGCCTCTCCCATCCACCCCAGGCCACCGGCTCCGCCGTGCGCACAGGGCTGGACGTGCTGGGCAGCGCCGCCAAGGCCCTGAAGGAGGGCTACGACGTGGCATCCCCCTACATCCAGTCGGGCGTGGAGGCGGTGACGCCCGCGGTCAAGGAGGCGGTCAAGGTCACGTCTGACGTGGCGGGGCCGGCCATCCAGAAGGCGGTGCCCATTGTGCAGGTGCGCGCGGCTGGGAGTATGCTGAGGCCAGGTGGGGCGGGAAAGGAGGAGGGCGCGGGAAAGGAGGAGGGGGAGGAGCCGGGGACCGCCTGGGGCCGATTCCGGGCCGGGGCAGGGGAAAGGGAGGCGTCAGCAGCCGGCGCGGCGGCCGGCGCCCGTCCGTTTCAGGGCTGGGCGCGCGACCGCGCTGCACGCGAGCCCGGGCTGCACAGGGCCGGGCGGCCAGGGTCTCGCGGCTGCTGTGGGCCGGCCAGGCTTACTGCAGCAGCGCCTAGTGCCCCAGCCCCCGCTGCATTGGGCCGAACTCCTAGTAATCCACGACACCACTACCGGCCCCCCCCCTGTGGTGCCCCCAGGACACCCTCACCGGTGCCATCAAGTCCACCGGCGTTGACCTGGACACAGTGTCAAAGACCACCTCCACCGTCGCCAAGACCGCCGCCGACGGCGCCACGGCCGCGCAGCCCCTGCTGTCCAAGGTGCGGGCAGCCCCTCCCCGCCCCCTCTCGGTAGTTCAGGGCCTGACTGCTCACTGCCTAGGCTGAGACACAACCCCCCGGCGGGCCGAAGCCCCAACCCACCGACCCTTGCCTTTCAAATCCCCGTGCAGGCGGCTGCCTTCCTGTCTAGCGCGTCCCCCCTTGAGCTCGGGGAGTACGGCCTGGGGGCGCTGGCGCTGTACCTGCTGGCGCCCCCTCTGCTGGGCGGCGTCGCGGGCGGCCTGCGCGGCTACGCGGGCGACATCACCGCGGTGCAGGCGCTGGACGCGCTCAACAGCGGGGACACCCTGATTGTGGACATCCGCACTGAGGTGGGTTGGTGGGGCGGTTAGAGGGAGTGATGAGCCTTTAGGGGCGGATATGGGCGGGGGTGGCTGTGGGCTGGTGTAGGTATGGGAGGCTATGCTCTTGGGCCTGCATGTGAGTGAGTGTGTGCGGTTTTTGCGGGGGCAGGGGCAGGAGAGGAAAATGGTGGACAGGTGCATCAGAGGAGAGGGAGACAGAAGGGGCAGAGGGGGAGGCAGGGGCAGAACGCGAGAGCCAGCCAGCGAGCCAGCGAGCAAGCGTGTGTGTTTGTGGGGGAAACAAGTAGAGCGCGAGAGAGAGCACTGACTGCAGGGATGGGGAGAGCTGCAATAGCAGCTCTTGAATGGGCGCCCCGAGGTGAACTCGCCGTCGCTCCCGGCGCCCCCGCCCTTCGGCACAGCGCAACAGACGCTGCGCGCCGCGCGCCCAATGCAGGCGAATCCATCCACAAACAAGCTCCACATACCGCCCGCACATTCCACTCCTCCACACGCGCCCACACGCGCCGCGTCGCGTCACATGGACCGCGCACCGCACCGCATCACATCCCTCCCACGGCCGGCCCTGCAGAAGGAGAAGGAGACGAGCGGCGTCCCAGACCTGCCCGGGGGCGGCAGCAAGCTGGTGGAGCTGGAGCTCTACTCCATCGCGGACAGGAAGCTGCGCGGCAGCCTCAGGGACGCGGGCTACATCGAGTCCCAGGTCACCGCCCTGCAGGTGTGGCTGCAGGCTGGGGCGGCCGCGTGCGGGCGAGGGGCGGGGGATTGATTGCCAACTGGGGCGGCTGCCACGCGCGCGCAGGGGCGAGCAGGCGTGCGTGCGCAAGCTCCGCGCCCGAGGGACGCGGCCTGCGGCTGTGGCGGCGGGCGGCCGAGGGGGGTAACGTGCGGCCCCGTGGAGACCTCATGGGTGGTGGAGCCGGGCTGCGGCCGCCGAGGCAGCGGGCCTCCCGCTGCGGGGCTGAGGGGGAGGGCCGCGCACCCCGAGTTGTGGTGGCAGCGAGAGCGTGTGCACGCGGCGCCGTGGGGCGTTGCAGGAGCTCATTGGCTGCATCTCTCTGTGCAGCTCAGGCACAAGCGGCGCTGGAAACCCCCATCGCTGCGCACCTTCCCCGTGCGCTCGCGTGCACACACGCACGCACGCTTACTCACTTTCTCACACGCACACACACACACACACACACACACACACACACACACAAACACACACAAACACCCACAAACACACAACACACCCACGACCCCCCAAACACCCAGATCGCGTCCCTCAAGCGCGTGAGCAAGGGCTCCAAGGTGATCCTCCTGGACCGCAACGGCTCCGCCTCGAAGTCCGTCGCCAGGGAGCTCGCCAAGCGCGGCTTCGGCCGCGTCTTCGTCGTCGACGGCGGCTTCGACGGCTGGGTGCGCTCCAAGCTGCTGGTCAAGCCGACCGCGGGCGCCGCGCTGCAGCCGCTGCCCAGCATCGCGCGGACGATCAGCTCCCGCCAGACCAGCCGCAAGGCGCTGCCGGCGCCCAGCAAGTGAGTGGCTCCGGCCGCGGGCGCTTCAGGCGGCTTGAGGGGGCGGGGCGGCGGG